CCTGTGTAATTCCTTTATATCTTCTTAGTGGATTGTTTTGTGGCTGTTGCCCGTGATTTTTTTTTATCACAATTTGAGGTGTCCAATTGTGATTTTTCCACGTAAAATCGTTGTGTCGATTTGTCTTGATTGTTTGATTGGGATTGTTATATACTGCTTAAAATTGATACATAATCACAAATCAACATCTAGCGGGTTTCTAGATTTTTCATGTTCATCAGATGTTAAGGTGGCAGAAGAGGAGGCCGACGCTACTGCTGCTCCGACGCTACTCCAACGACGACGATGCTGCTCCGACGTTCCTCCTCCACCACTCACCGTCAATCGAGAGAGAGAGAGAGAGGGGGGTAAGAAGAGATTAGGGATTTTTGGTTTTCAGATTGGGGATTTTTTTGTTTTGGGGAGGAGGGGGAGCTGTACAGTGGGAATGGAAAAAAAAAAAAAAAGGGGCGGGAATGCGGGAATGGAAAAAAAAAGGGGCGAGAATAAAAAATAAAAAAATAATATTTTTTTTGGGTCACAAATGAAATTAAAATAACAAAATAACGTCATTTAACTCTTGTTTTTTCTTTTTTTTTTTTTGGCGACGGGGGTTGTTGTCGTCAAAAAATTTTATTTTTTGTTAAAATATATATTTTTTTGTAGTTAATGAATTTTTTTTAAAAAAAAATTCATTTTTTTTTAGTTACTAAGATTGAAAATTTATTTGTTTCATTTTTATTTCAATGAAATAAAATATTATTGTTTTTTATTTGGTAGAAGTAGGGGTAATATTTTAATGAAAAATATTTTCCACTCAAATAAAAGTTAATTTTCTGTGGTCAATGAAAAATATTTTTCTACGGCGTATTTTTTTTGCAATCATGAACTAATTTTTTGTAGTAGAGGAGAGGGAGTAGCAGTAGTGGTGGATAAGAGATGATGGTGGTGGTGGTGGTGGTGGTGGCGAAGGAGATTATCGGTGAAGTTGTGGTAGTGGTAGAGTAAATGGAGTGGTAGGGGTGAATGAGAGGTAATGGTAGTAGTAATGGCAGTAGTGGTAGTAGTGGTAGTGGAGTGGTGGCAATGGTAGTAGTAATGGTAGTCGTAAAAGTGAAGTGGCGACAGTGGTAGTAATGGTGGTAGTGGAATGGCGTTTGCAGTAGTGGTGAAGGTGGTAGAGGAGATAGGTGGTGAGAGAGAGAGAGAAATGAGTGAGAGATAGATAGAAGAGAGAGAGAGAGAGAGACAGAGTGATGAGCGAGAGAGAGAGAGACAGACAAAGTGGTCGCTAAAAGTGCATTTTCTTGTAATGGATAGTAAATCGAGAGAGAGCTTAGTAAATAGAGAAGACGGGAGGGAGAGAATGAGCAACGCGAACACAGTAGTGGAGAGAGAGAGAGAGAGAGAGACAAAAAGATAAAGAGATAGAGAGTGAGAGACAGAAAAAGAGACAAAGAAAGAAGAGAGATGAACGAGAGAGACAGAGAGAGAGATAGAGGGAAGAGAGATGAGAGATGAGCGAGAGAGACAGAGAGAAGAGAGATGAAAATAAATTTATTTTTTGTTAATGAATTTTTTAAAAGAAATTTCATTTTTTTTTAGTTACTAAGATTGAAAATTTATTTGTTTCATTTTTATTTTAATGAAAAAAAATTATTATTATTTTTTATTTGGTAGAAGTATGGGTAATATTTTAATGAAAAATATTTTCTACTAAAATAAAAGTTTTATTTTCTGTGGTCAATGAAAAATATTTTTTTGCGGCCTATTTTTTTTTTGTTACTAAAAATCATGAACTAATTTTTTGTGGTAGAAGAAAGGGAGCAACAGTAGTGGTGAAGGTGGTGAATAAGAGATGATGGTGGTGGTGGTGGCGGTGGCGACAGAGATTAGTGGTGAAGTTGTGGTAGTGGTAGTGTAGATGGAGTGGCATGGGTGAAGGAGAGGTAATGATAGTAATAGTGGCAATAGTGGTAGTGAAGTGGTGGCGATGGTAGTAGTAATGGCAGTCGTAGAGGTGATGTGGCGACAGTGGAAGTAGTGGTGGTGGTGGAATGACGTTTGCAGTAGTGGTGAAGGTGGTAGAGGAGATGGGTGGTGAGAAAGAGAGATGAGTGAGAGACAGATAGAGGAGAGAGAGAGAGAGAGAAACAGGGACAGAGTGATGAGCGAGAGAGAGATAAAGTGGTCGTTAAAAGTGTATTTTCTTGTAGTGGATCGATAAATCGAGAGAGAGCTCAGTAAATAGAGAAGACGAGAAGGAGAGAGTGAGCAACGCAAACACAGTGGAAGAGAGAGAGAGAGAAAAAGAGAGAGAGATAAAGAGATAGAGAGTGAGAGACAGAAAAGAGACAGAGAGAGAAGAGAGATGGACGAGAGACACAGAAAGAGATAGAGAGAAGAGAGATGAGCGAGAGAGACAAAGAGAAGAGAAATGAACGAGAGAGACAGAGAAAAAGATAGAGAGAACAGAGATGAGCGAGAGAGATAGAGAAAGATGAGAGCTAAGAGAGATAGAAAGAAGAGAGATGAGCGAGAGAGATAAAGAGAAGAGAGATGAGCGAAAGAGACAGAGAGAGAAAAGAGATAAGAGAATAGATAAATGAGTGAGAGACACAGAGAGAGAGAGAGAGACAGATAGACAGACAGATAGAGAGAGAATAGTGATGAGTGAGAGAGAGAAAGAGAAGAGAGAGAGGAAGATGAAAAAATGGATAAAAAGATATAGACAGAGAGAGATAAAGAGAAAAAAAGAGCGAAAAGAGACAAACGGGAGAGAGACAAAGAGAGATGGGCGAGAGAGCGAGAGAGATAAAGAGAAGAGAGAGAGAAGAGAGACAGTGAGAGAAGAGAGATGAGAGAGATAAAGAGAAGAAAGATGGATGAGAGACACAGAGAGAAAGAGAGAGAGAGAGACAAACAGATAGACAGAGAAGAGTGATGAGTGAGAGAGAGAAAGAGAAGAGAGACAGAGACAGAGAGAAGAAAGAGACAGACAGACAAAGAAGAGTGATGAGTAAGAGAGAAGAGAGACAGAGACACAGAGAAAGAGAGAGACAGACAGAGAAGAGTTATGAGTGAGAGAGAGAAAGAGAAAGAGAAGAGAGACAGAGACAGAGAGATAGAAAGATGAAAAATGGGTGAAAAGCAAAATGTTCAAAAGAGTAAGACGACGTCGTTTTTGTTTTTTTTATTTTTTTTTTGTAACAGAAAAATACCGTTGCATTTATTTAAACCATTTTATGACTATATATATGAAGTTGTCTCAAAGCCACAAAATATATATATATATATATATTTTTTTTTAACTTTGAATCCTAAAAGAATAAGGTTCCTAATCCTACTATATATATATATATATATTTTGCGACTGCAGCTGGTACCGTCGCAAAAACTCTATTTTTTTGCGACAACAATCTCTGCCATCACAAATACTCTTTTTTTTTTGCGACAGCAATTTTTGCTGTCGCAAATACTCTATTTTTTGCGACGGCAAATTGTGCCGTCTCAAAAAGTCACATTTTTTTGCGACGGCAAGTTGTGCCGTCTCCAAAAGTCACATTTTTTGCGACGGCCAGTTGTTTCGTCTCAAAAAGTCACATTTGTTTAGACGGCAAGTTGTGCCGTCGCAAAAAGTCATTTTTTGCGACGGCAAATGTGCCGTCGCAAAAAGTTCCGTCTCATAAGCCCACTTTTCTTGTAATGTCCCTCTCTAATTTGGTTTGTAATTATTATTTCAAGTGTTGTAATAATTCCCCATCCCCACTTCTTATCTATCCCATTTTTTAATCCCTTTCCATAATTGTGCATATGTATATATCTTACATGGCATTCATGCTTTTATATACATGATTCATGCCTAAATCTGGCTAAATTTGCATCTTTGTGCTTTAATTGATTATTACATGATTTTGTGCGCTATCGCATGTTTTGCAATGTTTCACATGTCATGTTTTAGAAGTTGGATTTTTAGAAGCATTCTTGTGTATGTATTGCATTAGGATTTTGTATATAGGATCATGCATATTTTACTAACTTTGTTTTGTATTTGTTTGCGGGACGTCGGTAAATATGTAAGTTGTTATGATTTAGCATCTCGCTTGTACATAATTTTTTTTATTATGTTTGGCATCTTACCATATGGCTATTTGCTTATGTGATATAATTGTATGAATGCCAGTGGATGGAGGTTATGTTGCTTAATTTGTAATGATGTTGATTTTCATGTTTGTAAACTTAATTTATTTGGATTGTACATCTTCAAAACTCTTTCAAAACTACATGAAATCAAGTTGTTCAAAAGTGGGTGACATGGTCTATACTTGTATGCTTCACATAGTAAATTTTAGGATTTATTAAATAATCAGAACATGAACATATAAAGAAAATAAAATTCATATCATGGTTAGTAAAGGCCGATCTTTTGATCGGATGAACGGGGGTGCTCAATTAATGACCTTCCTCTCTCATACCTAAGGTTCCGAACCGAAACAACTTTGGTTATGACGAACAGTGGCCATGACACGAGTCATGGGTTTCCTAATTTCCCAAAATATTAGGTGGCGACTCTGAGATCTGATGACACAGTCAATTTCTAACAAATGATTTTTGCAATAAAATGAGTTTTCTAAAAGTTGCCAAATCTGGACTCTCATATATGTTTCACCTTGCACTCGTGAGACGAGATCAAAGAAATTGAGGGTCCGAATTGTTTAACGCGCGCGGGTACTCCTCGGGCATGTTACAGTGACACAACAGTTGCATATAGTGGCATGTACGCTTGTTGGACATTGCTCACATCATAAGTGAGGGTTAAAACCTACTCTTCCCATCTACCAATGTCAAAGAAAATTTCTTTACCCTACAGCAATTTACACAATGAATTTTTTTTTTTTAAAAAGTTAATAGAAAATTTCACAACAATAACAAAAAAAATATATATATAGTTTACTCTGCCGCAAACTTAAGTAAATACACCCAACACAAGTGAAATTAAACGTTATTGTGTTGCACAGAGAGGCAAACTAAAGCAGAATAAACTCCGAACAAATTTAACAACTACATTGTTGTCAAACATATCCTTCTTAAAAAAAATTTCGAAAATAACAAAATGAAAAAAAAAAAGGTCTAGAGCATAAAAGTCCACAACAGTTCAACTACAATAGCATATCAGTAGTAAAATACAATGACAAGGCAGAAGATTAATCCATATTAACCACACCATCACTCCCGAACAGACGTACGTCTCGCTGACGCTCTCTGCCCACATTCTGCGGCGTGCAAGCACGTTTCTCTTTCAACCACGCAATAATGTAATCTAGGAGGAGGGCCATCATGAGGTCGTGATTATCGGGTGAATCCATTATGTTGCATGTGAATGAGAACAACTGACCACTGGGCTCCAATCTAGGTGTGTTCATTAGTCTCACAAGACAGTTCCCCACAGTATTCTCACATATCCCTGTGGGAACATGTTGCGTAATTTTCAGTTCCCCTCTTTGTTTACTGATTGCCTCTACAAGGTTGTCCATGCTACTTGCGACAATACTAGGGGTTGGCCGTTTGCGACATTTTGCATTGGCTAATCTGTCAACGGCTGAATATGGGGGAGTATCGTTGAACAACGAACTATCCACCACGTTCTCCTTGACAGTATCATGGCCCAAATGTGGTGGTATGCTAGCACTGAGAGGTCCTATGCCACTGTCATCGTCAACATTGGCTACGGCAGCATCATCATCGCGGAGTTCAGTTGGAGTCCATGCATGTTTTCCCGTCGCAGCAGTGCCGGAGTACATCCGTTCTATCAGCTCCAAGTGCTCCAAAGGCTTCGTCTTGAACTTGACACATCGGTTGTTCATCTGAGACACAACAAGACTCATATGTAAAAAATTATAGCAATTTATTTGTAGGGATAAAGGTGAAGCAACAATGATAGTGAAATCCAATAATACTGAATTAAATAAGTGAGAATGTAAAGTTACTGTAATCGTAACTGAGAATGTGAACCAATCAATTCTACCAAATTAGTTGAAGGGATTATGTAATTAGTAATAATCAATTACATTGTTGACAATGTAAAATAATTGTAGTAGTTTTTCTGTAGGGATAAAAGTGCACCAGCAAGGCAATTGAATTCCAACAATAATCAGTTTCAGTAATAATTTACAAACAATAATTCTAACCATACAAATAACTGTAAACATTGAAAGTTGTGCGGTTCACAATAAAGAATTTTAAAAATATAGCAATTAATAATGAAAACATTACTATACTAAAGTTGTTTATTCATTTTCAAGTTGGATTGGATGGATGTAAAAAGCTATGAGCTCTTTGGACTTGGCACAATTATCTGTAGGATAATTTTAATATATTCAGGAATGTCTTTGAATTCAGAAAGTGGTTAAGTAAACAAAATATTGCACTACATATCACAAACAGTAGTATAAGAATATGGAAACAAAAAATATGGCACTACATACCGCTTGCATTTTGGCCCACCAATGGTTAAGTGCTGTGAACAAACTTGTCTCTTGGTCGTACCCAAGTGTAGACACCCCATTTTTGACCGACCTTAAGACTCAGACGTCACCGATTGAGCGCTTGGTGATGTCGCATATTGTGCTCGTTCAGAAGTTTCAGAGTCTCGGTTACGAGCCTTGCCTCCGGACTTCGGGGCTCTTGCGTGCTTTGCCTCGGTTCGCGAACCAGGCTCGGTTTTCTCTGTTTCTCTTCCAGAAGGGAGAGAGAGGTCTCGTAGATCATCTCTCAGTGGCCGTAGGCTACGTTTCGTGGTCGTAGGCCATTTTGCCCGTTTGGAGTCCGGTTTCCGATTTTTCGGAGCCGTTGGCCGTGTGCCTCGGTTCGGGACCGCTTAACCACCTCCGTTTGCTCCGATTTTTGGCATGCATCTTATTTAATCCCTTTTGAAGGATACTGCGGTCCGAAAAACTAACTTCGTGGTCGAACACCACTTCCGGTGCCTAACAGTCAGTTTTTGGGGCCTCGGGCTGCGCGTTTCGACCCCCGAACCTCCATTTTGCATCGGTTTGAGTTCATTTTTGGCAGGGACCTCTGTTTCATTGTTAGGAAGGTCGTAGAAGGGTGGGAGGCCAGCAATTTTTCTGACAACCATGTTTTATTCCTCCATCGCCCTCCGTCGCCCGTTTTTCCCACTTGAAAGCCAATGTTGACCACCCTAAGGCCACTTTTTCTTGCTCCGAACCACATATTTGTGTTGTACACACCTGGGAGGCCGCCAATATCATATGGCCGGCCAGTAATTGTGTGTGACCCTTTTGAACCCCTCATAAAAGTGGCCTTTTTCTCTCTCCTGGTTCATTCTTTCCAGTTTTTGACCACATGGTTGTGTTGTACACACATGAGAGGTCCTCTTTTTGGCATGGCCGGCCATTAATCTTCATTGACCCTTTTGACCCTTGGCCGACCGGCCATGGGGATGGCCGACCGGCCACCTAAACCCTAGGAAACCGGCCGGCCATGATCCTCTCTCCAGGTACTTTACAAAAATGCCCTCTGTTTCCCCCCAGATTTTGTATCCGGGGGGGCCAACTTTTGGGGGGAAATTTGAATCCCATTCCCCTCCTTATTCCCCCCTCTTTTGCCTATATATCCAGGCCCTCCAATTCCCATTTGAGGGGTTAGGAAATCTTGTCTAAGTCTCCTACATTGTATCTCTCTCTCCCTACACTCCAACCCTCAAAACCCCTCAAATCCCACACCCCTTTCTACACCACCACATAGCACCACACCACCACCATCCTTTCCAACACTTGGAGCTGGTTTTCCAGAGCTTAGGAGCACCTTTTCTCAAGCCA